GTGTGCAGTGTGCAGATGTGCTTTCTGTTGTGTGCAGAGTGCTCTGTGCACTGTGCTACGTGCAATGTGATAAATACAGTGTACAGTGCTATGTGCAGTGTTCTGTGTGTGAGCACTGTTCAGTGTGCATTGTGTAGTGAGATGTGTGCAGTGTGCAATGTGCTGTTTATACTGTGCAGTGGGCTGTGTGCAGTGTTCTGTGTGTTGTGTGCTTTCTACTGTGTTCAGTAATCAGTGTGCACTGTACTGTGTGCACTCTTCTGTGTGCAGAGTGGTCTGCTTGTGTGCAGTGTTCAATACACAGTGTGCTGTATGCAGTGTGCTTTCTGATATGTGCAGTGCATTTTATGCTGTGTGCAGTGTGTTATTTGCTGTGTGCTGCGTGCTTTCAGCTGTGTGCCGTGATCAGTGTGCACTGTACAGTGTGCTTTCTGCTGTGTGCTGTGTGCAATGTACATGTGTTGTGTGTTTTGTATGGTGTACAGTGTGCTCCATGCATTGTGCTGTGTGCCTCGTGCCATGTGCAGTGTGAAGTGTGATGTGTGCAGAGTACAGTGTGCAGTGTACTGTGTTCAGTGTGTTGTTTATGGTGTCCTCTATGGTGTGCATATTCTCTGTGTATTGTATGCTGCTGTTCAGTGTGTTGCATGTACTTTACAGTGTGCAGTGTGCTCTGTGTACTATGCTGTGTGCAATGTGTTGTGCAGTGTGTGGTTTCCTGTGTGTAATGTGCAGCATGCTGCTTGCAGTGTACAGTGTGCAGAGCATTGTGCAGAGTGTTGTGCTCAGTTTGCTTTGTGTACTTTACAGTGTGAAGATTGCTGTGTACAGTGTGCTACGAGAAGTGTCAAGTATGACGTGTGTAGTGTATTAAGTGTTGTGTTCAGTGTGCTGTTTTCTGTGTGTAATGTGCACAGTGCTGTGTGCAGTGTGCTCTGAGGTGTTTGTTGTGAAGTATGCAGTGTGTTGTGTGTAGTGTGCAGTGTGCATGGAGAAACATTCAGTCTGAATTGTGCTGTGTACGGTGTGCAGTGTACTGTGTGCAGTGTGTGTGTAGTGTGCAGTGTGCTATTTGCAGTGTGCAGGGGTGGTGTGTAGTGTACCTTGTGCTGTGCGCTTTCTGCTGTGTGCAGTGTGTAGTGACCTGTGTGCTTTCTGCTATGTGCAGTGTTCAATGTGCTGTGTGCAGTCTGCACTGTGCAGTGTGAAGTGTACTGTGTGCAGTGTGAATTATATTGGGTGCAGTGTAAATTGTGACTTGTGCAGTGTAAAATGTAAAGCGTTGATTGTGCTTTGGGAATAAGCAGTATTAAATTTGCATAGTGCAATGAGAAGTGTGCACTGTGACTTCTTCAGTGTTCTGTGTGCAGCGCACTTTGCTGTGTGCTGTATGCAGTGTGCTTTGGGCAGTGTGCAATGTGCAGTGTGCTGTATCAGCTTGCTGTGCACAGTGTGCTGTGTGCAATATGCTGTGTGCTTTGTGAGAATTGCAGTGTGCAGCGTGCACTGTGCTGTGTGTTGTGTGCTTTGGGCAGTGTGCTGTGTACAATGTGCAGAGTGCTTTGTGCAGTTTGCTTCGTGCAGTGTGCTGTAAACAATTTACTGTGTGCCTTGTGCCCTGTGTAGCTTGCAGTGTGTTGTGTGCTATGTGCTTTGTGCAGATTTCAGTGTCCTCTGTGCAGAATGTTCAGGGTGCTGTGTACACTGTCCAGTGTTCTATATGCTGTGTGCAGTCTTCAGTGTGCAGTTTGAAGTTTGAATTATAAAGCGTGCAGTGTGCAGTGTGCTGCAGGCGGTGTGCAGTTTTCTGTGGGCACTGTGCTGTGTGTAGAGTAAACTGCGCAGCATGAACTGTGCTGTTTGCTGTTTACAGTGTGCTGTGTGCAGTGTGTTGTTAGCTATGTCTGTGTACAGTGTGCTCTGTGTATTCTGATATGTGCAGTGTGTTATGTGCAGTGTGCAGTTATTTGTGTGCTGGGTGTTGCAATTTATGCTGTGGACAGTGTGCAGCGTGCTTTCTGTTGTGTGAAGAGTGTAGTGATCTGTGCGCTTTCGTCTTTGGAAGTGAGCAGTATACCGTGTGCTTTCTGCTGTGCTCAGTGTTCTGTATGGAGTGTGAAATGTGCTTTGTGCATTGTGCAGTGTGAAGAGTGCAGTGTACTGTGGGTAATGTACAGTGTCCAGCGTGCAGTGTGCCATGTGAAGTGGGCAGTGCACAATATGCAGTGTCTTGTTCTGTGTACTTTTTGCCGTGTGCAGTGTCTAGTGTGCTGTGTGTTTTCTGCTATGTGCAGAGTGCAGTATGCATTTTGCTTTCTGCTGCCTGCAGTGTCCAGTGTGCTATGTACAATGTAGAGCGTGCTCTATGCAGTGGGAAGTATTCTGTGTGCAGTGAGTAGCGTACAGTGTGCATTGGGCTTTATGCAGTGTGTACTGTGCTTTGTGCAGTGTGCACTGTGCTTTGTTCAGTGTGTAGTGAGAAGAATGTGTGTGAATTGAGCAGTGTGCAGTTGAAATGTGAAGTGTGCAGTGTTCAGTGTGTAGTATACAATGTGCCATGTAAAGTATACAGTGGGCAGTGTGAAGTGTGCCATGTTGTTGCAGTGTTCAATGTGCAGTGTAAACTCTGCAGTGTGCTGTGTGCCCTATACTGAATGTTGTTTGCAGTGTGCCATATGTAATGTGCAATGTGCTGTGTGCAGTGTGCTCTCCACAGTGTGCATTGCTGTGATGGTTAAAACTGTATGTCAACTTGGCTAGGCCATTATTCTCTGTGTTTTAGCAGTTGTATAATGTTGTGATCACTTCCCTGTTGAAATATGATATGTCATCACCCCCATGATGGAATCTGCTGAGTGGTACTGGTGGAGGCAGGGCCTGTGGTGGCTCACCGCCCCCTCAGTTTCATCTCTCTGCCTTCCACCAGTTACTTTCTGCCTGCTCACCTTGCCAAGCTTTGGGCTTGTTCCAAACTCAGCAGCTGCCTCTTGTCTCACCTCTGGTTCTTGGGACTTGAGCTAGCAGCTTACCTATTGATCTAGGAATTCATCTATCTTCACAGCTTGAGAGCAAGAGTCTGGTTCCTCGACCTGCTGATCTTGGGTTCGCCAGCTCCTGCAACTACGTGAATCAGGAGAAACCTTGTGGTCTTGTCTGCTGATCTTGGAATTCGTTGACCTTCACAGCCTGTGAGCAGGAGCCCCTCTCCGACCTGCTGACCTTGGGTTCACCAGCTTCTGCAGCTCCGTGAATCGGGAGAGACCTCTACCCTGATCAACGGACTTGGGACGTCTTAGTCTCTACCATAGCGTGAGCTGTTTCCTTTATATAAATCTCTCTATATATATACTTATACGGTTTACTAGTTTTGCTTCTCTAGAGAATCCAGCCTAAGACAATTGTAAACTGTACCATGTGCTGTGTGAAGTGTGCTCTCTGAGGTGTGAATATTGAAATATGCAGTGTACTGTTTTCAGTGTGCTTGATGCTTTTTGCATTGTGTTGTGTGCAATGTGCAGTTTACAGTGTGCTGTGTGTAGGTAGCAGTCTGATCTGTGCAGCGTTCATTTTGTTGTATGCAAAGTGCCTTGTATAACGTGCTATGTAATGTGTGTTGTGTTCAGTCTGCAGTGTGTTAGATGTAGTGTGCAGTATGATGTTTGAAGATTACAGTGGACAGTGTAAAGTGTGCAGTGTCCAGTGAGAAGTGTGCAGTGTGATGTGTGTATGTGCAGCATGCTGTTGCTGTGTAAAGTGTGCCGGGTGCAGTGTGAAATGTGCCATATGCAGTGTACTGTGTGATATATGCCATGTGCTATGTGCAGTATGTAGTGTTACATGTGCAGTGTGCTGTATTCTGTGTTAAAGGTGCTGTGGGCAGCATGCAGTGTGCATTGTGCAAGGGAAAGTGTGCAGTGTGCAGTGTGAATTGTGTAGTGTGAATTGTTTTGTATGCAGTGTGAATTGGGCAGTTTGCCTTGTGCAGTGTAAAGTGCACAGTGTGCTGTCTGCTGTGTGCAGTGTACATTGTGCGGCAGTGTGCTGTGTACAGTGTGCTGGCTGCTGTGTGCTGGCTGCCGTGTGCAGAGTTCAGTTTGCTGTGTGGAGTGCGCTGTGTAGAGTATGCAGTATACTCTGTGCTGTGAGCTCTGTGCATTGTGTGCTTTTTGCTGGTTGCAGTGTGATATGTATAGTTTGTGGTGTGCTGTGTGCAATATGCTGTGTGTAGTGTGCAGTGTACTGTGTATAATGTGATGTGCACTGTGTGCACTATGTTGTATGCAGTGTGGTGTGTGAAACGTGCAGTGTGCTGTATGCGGTGTGTAGTTTGATGTGTGTAGTGTGCTGTGTGCTATGTGCAGTGTTCTGTTTGCAACGTGCATTCTGCAGTGTAGAGTGTGCAGTATGAAGTGTGCAGTGTGCTGGGAGAAGAGTAGTGTGAATTGTGCTGTGTGCAGTGTGCTGTGTTTAGTGTGCACTGGGGAGTGCACAGTGTGCTGTGTGCTGTGTCAGTGTGCTGTTTGCAGTGTGCTGTGTGCAGTGTACAGCATGCAGATTGTTGTGTACTATGTCAGTGTGCTGAGTCGGGGTGTAGTGTGCTCTGTCCATTGTGATATGTTCACTGTGCTGTGTGCTGTGAGTAGTGTGCTGTGTTCAGTGTTCTGTGTGCATTTATTTGGGTGCTGTGTGCCATGTGCTTTCAGCTGGGTGCAGTTTGCAACGTGGTGTGTACTGTCACTTCCTCTACTGCCACCACCTGAAGCCACCACACATACTGCCACCACCTCTAGTTCTACCACCACCCATCCTGCCACCAACACCTGTTCTACCATTATCACTCATACAGCCAGCGTCATATCTACTGCCACCACCACCTATGCTGTCACTACCAAATCTACTACTACCACCACCTCCACTTCCAGTGCCACCTCTATTGACACTGTCACCTCTATGGCCTCCACCATCTTTACTGCCACCGTGACCACTACTGCCAATGCCAATTCTACTGCCACCACTATCTTCATTGCCGTCACCACTTTACTGCTATCACCATATCAACTGCCAGCACCACCAGTCCTAACACCACCAACCATATTGTCACCACTGCCTCTACTGACACAAACACCTCAGCTGCCACTATCACCTCTACTGCCACTGCCACATCTACTCCCACTGTGACATCTACTGCTACCACCACTTCTAATGCCACCAATACCTCTAGTGTCACCACCATCTGTACTACCACAGCTGCTACTAAAAGCGACCATACTGCCACCACCTCAAATGCCAACATATCTAGTGACACTGCCACTTTTACTTCCATCATCATATCTATTGCCACAGCCACCTCTACTGACACTGCTTTCTCTACCGCCACCATTACCTCTACTGCCACCACCTCTACTGCCACTTCCAACTCTACTGTCACCACCCTTCTACTGCCACTTCCACCTTTACCACCACCTCTACCCCTGCTGCCACCACAACCTCTACTGCCACTACCAATCATGCTGCCCACATCATCTGTACTACCAACATCACCCATACTGCTACCATAATGTTCACTGCTGCCACCGCTCCTATTGCCACCTCTACCTGTACTGCCATCAACACCTATACTACCACTATAACCCATACTATCACCACCACCTCTACTACCACTGCCACTTATACAGTCACTGCCACCTATACTCCCACCGCTAGCGGTACTGACACTGACACATCTACTACCACCATCACTTCTCTTGCCACCAACACCTTTACTGCCACCACCACTTTTAATGCCACCACCACCTGTACTGCCTCCACCATCTTATGCCAACTCTATCTCTACTGCCACTGTCACCTCTACCTACACTGACACGCTACAGCCATTGTCAGCTTTACTACCACCACCATCTTTACTTCCACTGCCATCATGACCTCTATCGCCACCTCCATCTCTAATGCCACCCCCATTTCTACTACCACTGCGATGTCTACTGCCTTGCCACCTCTGCAATCTGCCACTTTTAATTCTACAACACTTCTACTGCCACCACCACCTTTACTGCCAACACCATGTCTACTCCCACCATCACCCATACTGCCACTACTACTTCTGCTACCAGACCAGCTCTACTGCCACTGTATTTTCTACTGCCACTGCCACCCCTACTGAAACTTCCACCTCTTTTGCAATAACACCAGTACTGCCACCCCCACCTCTACTCTCACTTCCTTCTCTACAGTCACTGCCATTTGTACTGCCACCATCACCCATAATGCCAACACAAGCTTTACTGCTACCACAATCTCTATTGCCACCTTGACTTCTACTGAAACCACCTCTACTGCCACTGTCATGTCCACTTCCGCCACCATCTCTAATGCCACCTCACCTCTAATGCCAATTCCTCCTCTACTGCCACAAGCACCTCTACTTCCATCACAATCTCTACTGCCACCAACTACTTCTATGGCCACCATCACCTCTACTGCCACCAGTGACATTTCTGCCACCACTAACTCTACTGCCAGCAGAACCTCTAATGCCACTGTCATCTCTCCTGTTTCCACCACCTCTACTGCCATCAACACTTCTACTGCTACTGCCAGCTGTACTGCCACCACCACCCTTAACACCACCACCGCCTCTACTGCCAAAGCCACTTGTAATCTCAACAGCACTTCTACTGCCTCCACCACCTCTAATGCCACAGCCACCTCTACTGCCACCCCCACTGTTAATGCCACCTATACTCCCACTGCAACTCTACTCTTAGTGCTATTTCTTCTGCCACCACCACCTCTACAGCCACTAACACCTCTGCAGGCATCATCACCCATACTGCCACTACCACCATACTACCATCGTCACCCACAGTGCCAGCACCACCTCTACTGCACAACCACCTTTATATCCATTACCACATCTATTTCCAGCAGTACCTCTACTACCAGGAACACCTCTACTGCCACCACACCTGTACTGCCTCCAAGATCTCTACTGCTACTGCCACTTCATCTACTTCCACTACTACCTCTATTTCCACTGTTACTTCTACTGAGAGACACCTGTACTCCACCTCTACTTCTACAGCCACCACCACCTCTAATGCCACTACCAACGCTGCTGCCACCATCACTTCTGCCACCAGTAACTCTACTTCCAGCACAACCTCTACAGTCACCATCTTCTGTACTGTCACCACCACCTCTACTGCCACCAACATCTCTACTATCACTAGTGCCTGTACTGTCACCACCACCCTTAGTGCCATCAACACCTCTATTGCTACCACGACTTCTAATATCACCAGCAACTCTACTGCCTCCACCACCTCTAATGCCACCACCACCTCCACTGCCAACGTCACCGATACTTACACAACTCTACTGCCACCACCACTTCTACTGCCACTGCCACTTCTATAGCCACTTACACCTCAACAAGCACCACCACCCATACTACCACCACTACCCATACTACCATCTTCACCCACAGTGCCAGCAACACCTCTACTTCCATGACCACCTTTACATCCACCACCATGTCTATTGCCACCACTACCTCTACCACCACCAACACCTCTACTGCCAGCACCACCTTTACTGCCTCCAAGAACTCTAATGCCACCATCACCTCTGCCTTTACTGCCTCATGTACTGTCACCACTACCTCGACTTCCACTACCACCTCTGCTGCCAAAGACACCTTTACTGCCACTGTCACCTCTTCTGCCACCACCACCTCTACAGCCACCACAACCTCCACCTACACCACCACTTTTACTGCCACCACCACCTCAACTGCCACTACCTCTTCTGTTGCCTCCACAAGCTCTACTGCTACCACTTCTACTGCCATCAACACCTCTACTGCCACCTCCACCTCTACTGCCACCAACACCTCTGCTACCACCTCCACCTATAATGCCACCACCTCTACTGCCACCACCAACTCTACTGTCACCACAACCTTTCCTGCCACCACCACCTCTACTGCCACAGCCACCTCTATTGCCAAAACCACCTCTACTGACACCAGTTCTTCTACTGACATCACCACCTATGCTGCCATAGCCACTTATATTTCATCATCACCTCTACTTCCATTGCCACCACTATGGCCACAAGCACTTCTGCTGATAACTCTACCTCAACAGCCTCCATCATCTCTGCTGCCACCACCTTTAATTCCACCATAACCTGTACTGCCACCACCACCTCTACTGCAAACATCACCTGTACTGCTACCAACACCTCTACTGCTGCCACAGCCCAAACTACCACCATCCCTCCTATTGCCATCACCACCTTTACTGCCACTACCACCTCTACTCTCTCTGCTACCTCTACTGCCACCACCTCCTATACTGCCTCCACTGCACAGCCACCCCTACTGCCACCGCCACCTCTACTGCCAATGCCACCTGTACTGCTACTGCCACCTCTAATGCTGCCACCACCACTACTGCCACCACCACCTCTACGGCCTACACCTTTACTGCCACCACCACCAGTACTACCACCACCACCTCTATGGCCATCACCATCTCTACTGCCACTGCTTTCTCTACAGCCACTACCACCTGTACTGCTACCACCACCTGTACTGGCACAAACACCTGTTCTGCCACCACCACCCATAATGCCCCAACAACCTCTATTGCCAGGGCAACATCTACTGCAACCACAACCATTATACCCATCTCCACCTCTAACTCCACAACTACCTCTACTGCCACAATCATCTCCACTGCCACCTTCACCTCCACAGCCACCACAATCTCTACCACCACCAGACATCTACTGCCAGAAAGACTTCTACTGCCACCACCATTTCCACTGCCACTGCCACTTCTACTGCCACCAGCATCTCTAATGCCATTACCATATCTACTGCCACCGCCTCCTCTACTGCCACTGCCTCCTCTACTACCATCTTCACCCATGCTGCCACTACCACATTAACTAACATCAACACCTCTACTGCAACCAAAACCTTTACTGCCACCACCTCTACTGCCACTGCCACCTCAACTGCCACTACCACCTGTACTGCCACAACTACTTGTACTGCTACCACCACCCATGATATCACCAACACCTTTACCGCCACCGCCATCTCTACTGCCAACACCACGTCTACTCCCACCATCACCTGTACTGCCAGTACTGGCCACAAGCACCTCTACTGCCAACTCTACCCCAACTGCTTCCACCACCTCTACTGTCACCACGCCCTATGCCACCACAACCTGCACTGCCACTACTACCTCTACTGCTGTCAACATCTCTACTGCCACTACAGCCCAAACTACCACCATCTCTGTCACCACCACTTCTACTGCCACTGCCATCTCTATGGCTTCCACCACCTAAACGGCCACCACTCCCTAAACGGTTACCACCACCTACAGTACCACAAACACCCATAGTGAAAACACCACCTTTACTATCACCACCAGCTCTGCTGCCACTGCGACCCCTACTGCCACCCCCACCTCTATTTCTACCACCACTTCCAACGTCACCACCACTTCTACTGCCTCCATCAACTCTACTGCCAATACGACCTCTACGTAATGCCTTCATTACTCATATTACCAGCATCACCCGTACTACAACTGCCTCTTCTACTGCCACCACTTCTAATGTCACCACCGCCTTTACTGCTAACACCACCTCTACAGCCACCACCACTCGTAATGTCTTCACTACTCATATTACCACCATCAACCATGCTGCAACTGCCTCCTCTACTGACACCACAACCTCTATTACCACCATCAACTTTAGTGCCACCACCATTTTTACTGCCACTGCCACTTCTACAGCCACCAATACCTCTACAAGCACCACCACCCATACTGCCTCCACCACCCGTACTGCCACCACTACCATCGTCACCCATAGTGCCAGCAACACCTCTACTGCCATGACGACCTTTACATCCACCACCATGTCTATTACCACCACTGCCTCTACCACCACCAACACCTATACTGCCAGTACCATCTCTACTGCATCCAAGACCGCTAATGCCACCACCTCTGCTGTCACTGCCTCATCTACTTCCACCATCACCTCTGTTGCCAAAGACACCTGTACTGCCACTGCCACCTCTATTGCCACCACCACCTCCACAGCAGCCACAGAGCCACCTTTACTGTCACCTCCACCTATACTGCCACCACCTCAACTGCCCCCTCCAATTCCATTGCCACTGCCACCTCTATTGTTACCACCACCTCTACTGCCTCCCACACCACTACTGCCTCTGCCTCCTCTACTTCCACCACCAACTACTGCCACCACCAACACCTCTACTGCCACCACCACCTCTACTTCATCTCCTCAGCAGAACTTCCACCTCTACTCCCACCACCACCTCAACTGCCACTACCTCCTCTACTATCACCACCACCTGTGCTGCCAGGACTACCTCTACTGCCACTTCCACCTATATTCCAACTGCTTCCTATATTTACATTGCCAACTCTACTGCCACCACAAACTCTACTGCCAACACCACCCATACTACTACCATCACCCATACTGCCACCACCACCTTTATTGCCACCAACACATCTACTGCCACCACCATTTCTACTGTCATCACTACCTCTACTGCCTCCACCATCTAAACGGTCACCACCACCTAAACTGCCACCACCACCACCCATAGTATCACAAACACCCATAGTGACAATACCACCTCTACTACCACCACTTCCTTTACTGCCACCACCACCAATACTTTCACCACCGCTTGTACTACCACCATCACCTATACTCCCACCACCTCCTCTACCACCAACCCTACCGCTATTACCACTGCCACCTCTACTTAAACTGACACTCTACTGCCATGGCCACATCTATAGTCACTGCTACCTCTACTGTCACCACCACCTTTACTGCCACCGCTCCTTCACTGCCACTGTTACCTGCACTGCCACTGCCACCTCTGCTGTCACTTTCACCTCTACTGCCACCTTTACAGATACTGACACCACCATCTTTACCTCCACTGCCACCCCTACTGCCACCATGACCTCTACTGTCACCTCTACTTCTACTACCACAGCCACATCTAATGCTTTCAAACCTCTACACTCTACCACCTCTACTTCTACAAGACCTCTACTACCACTGCCAACTCTAGTGCCAGCACCACCAGTACTGTCACCACCACCCATATTATCACCATCACCCTTGCTACCACCACCACCTCTAATGCCACTACTACCTCAATGGCCACATCCATTGCCACCATCACCCATACTACCATCAAAACCCATACTGCAACCACCACCACTACTTCCACCACCACCTCTACTGCCAGCACCACTTCTATAGCCACTGCTACCAATACTGCCACTACCACCCCTGCAGCCACCACTTCTACTGCCACTGCCACTTCTACTGTTGCCACCTCCTATACTGCCAGAGCCATCTATACTACCACCGCTAACTCTACTGTCACAACCACTTCTACTGCTACAACCACCCATGCTGCCACCACCACCTCTACTGCCACAGCAACATCTACTAACACAACCTCTCCATCCACCACCTCCTTTACTGTCAAAACCACCTCTACTGCCACCACCTCCTCTACTGTTACCACCACTCGTACTTCCACCACCACCTCTACTGCCACCAACATGTCTGCTGTCACCATCACCTATTCTACTACCTTCATCCATACTGCCACCAACACGTATACTTCCACGAAAACCTCTACTGCAACCAAAACCTTTACTGCCACCACCATCTCTACTGCCACTGCCATCTTTACTTCCACTGCCACCCTTACTGCTACTATGATCTCTACTGCCACCCCACTCCTACTGCCACCGCTACCTTTATTGCCTTGCCACCTTTACAATCTACCACCTCTAATTATGCACTTCTAATGCCACTGCCGCCTCTACTGTCACCACCACCCATATTACCACCATCACCCTTGCTGCCGTTACCACTTCTAATGCCACCACTACCTCTACAGCCAACTCCCTTGCCACCACCACTAGTACTGCCTCCACCACTCTTACTACTACCATCACCCATACTGCCACCACCACCACTTCCACCATCACCTCTGCTGTCAACACCACCTGTACTGCCACCATCATTTCTACAGCCATTGCCACTGCCACCCCTGCAGCCACCACCACCTCCGCCTCTACTACCGCAACCACCTCTGCTGCCACAACCACTTCTACTGTTGTTGTTAGGTGTTGTCCAGGTGGTTCTGACTCATAGCGACCCCATGTACAACAGAAGGAAACACTGCCAGGTCCTGCACCATCCTCACAGTCATTGATATGTTTAAGCTCATTGTTGCAGCCACTGTGTCAGTCCATCTCTTCGAGAGTCTTCCTCTTTTTCGTTGATCTTTTACCTTACCGAGCATGATGTCCTTCTCCGGGGACTGATCTCACCTGCTAACATGTCCAAAGGACATGAGGACAAAGTCTCACCATTCTCGCTTCCAAGGAGGACTCTGGCTGTGCTCTTCCAAGACTTCTAATGTTACCACCATCTATATTGCCAGAGTCACTTATGCTGCATCCACCACTTGTACTTCCACCACCACGCCATCACCAGTACTGCCACTGCCACCTCTACTTCTGCCAACACCTCCACTGTCACCTCCACCTCTACTGCCACTGCCACATCTACTGACACAGCTACTTCTACTGTCACTGTCACCTCTACTGTCATTGTCACTTATATTCCCACTGCTACCTCTACTGTCACTGCCACCTCCACTGCCGCCACCACCTTTACTGCCAACACCACCCATATGGCCACCAACACCCATACTCTACCATCGACCTTACTGCCACCACCACATCTAGTGCCAAAACCACCTCTACTGCCACCACGACCTCTACAGGCACCATCACTTCTACTGCTGCTGCCACCTCTACTGCTTCAACCACTTGTATTGCCATCACCTCTACTGCCACTGCCAGCTCTACTGTCACCACCACCTCTACTGCCACCAATACTTCTACTTCCACTACCACCTATACTGTCACCACAACCGCTACTGCCTTCACTACTTATACTGACACTACAACTATACTGCCACCACCACCTCTGCTGCCAATACCACCTCTACTTCAACTACCTATACTGCCAGTGCCACCTCTACTGCTATTGCCACCTCTACTACAACAAACACCTCTGCTGTCACCACCACCTATATTGTCACAACTACCTCTACTGCAACCACCACATATACTTCCACAGATACCTATACTGACACCAGCTCCTATGCTGCCACTACCACCTCTGCTGCCACCACTATCTCTACTTTCAAAACCACCTACACTGCCTCTGCTACCACTACTGGCACCACCACATCTACTGCCATCATCACTTCTACTGCCTCCAGAACCTATACTCCCACCACCACTTCTACTGCCACCATCAGCTCTACTGCCACCGCCACCTTTCCTGACAACATGACCCGTACTGCACCATCACCCAGACTGCAACCACCACCTCTACTGCTACAACAACCATACCACCATCTCCACCCATACTACCACCATCATCCATACTACCACCACCTCCTTTACTGCCACTACCACCTCTACTGCCACAGCCACATCTACTGCCACTGTCACCTGTACTGTTATTGCCACCCCTACTGGCAACTACACCTCTACTATCATTGTCACCTATAGTGCCACTATGACCTCTTCTGCCACTGCCACCTATAATGCCACAGGAACCTATACTGCCATTACCACCTATAATGCCACAACCACCTGTACTACTGCCACCACATATACTACCGTCACCACCTATACTACCACCACCACATATACTGCCACCACCACCTGTACTGCTAACACCATGTATACTGATAACACCACCAATACTGCCACCATCACCTCTACTGCCCCTGCCACGTCTACTGCCACCACCACCTATACTGTCATCATTACCTGTACTCCCACACAACTTATACTGCCAGTGCCACCTATAATTACATCACCACCTAAACTGCCACCACCACCTCTACTGTCACAACCTCTGTACTGCCACCACCACTTATGCTGCCACAATCATCCATATTGCCACTAAAATCTATAATGCCACCACCACCTATACTACCACCACCACCTATACTATCATTACTCCTATACTGCCACCGCCCCCTTACTGCCACTGTCAACTGTACTGCTTACACACCTCTACTGCCAACCCAACCTCTACTGCATCTGCCATCTCTACTGCCTCCGTCACCTCTACTACCACCTCTGCCTATACTGTCACAACCACTTCTATCTCCACCACCACATATATTGCCACCACCACCTATACTGTCGCCACCACCTCTATTGCCACAACCACTTATACTGTCACCACCACCTATAGTGCCACCACCAACTATACTGCCACTGCCACTTACAATGCCACCACCATGTATACTACCAACACCACCTATACTGCTACCACCACTTATACTGTCACCACCACCAGTAGAGCCACCACCACTGATACTGCCACCTCCACTGATATTGCCACCACCACCTATACTGACACCACCATTGCCACTTCTACTGCTAGTGTCACCTCTGTGGCCACCATCACCTATCACTATCACTGCCGCCACCACATATACTCTTCTGCCAGTTGGAATTCAGTGGACAGCAACTTGTTTTTGTTTTTTAATTTCGTTTTTTCTTGTTTGTTTGTTTTACAAAAGTATCCATTTGTTGGTGGGTTGAAATCATAGCACCCTTTTGTATTTTTTGTGTATTCAACATTGTTTCTGGGCAGAAATGCCACAGATTCAGAGACAGGGAAAGTACATATATGATCATAAAAAAAGTATACAAAATATTTGGGCCTTCTAATGGAGTCAGTTGGGTACACAGACAGTCGCAGGGTGAGCCCTTTCCAGAACATCTAGGAGAAACTGAACATAGGTGTCTTTATACACATGCTATTGTAAAAAATTTTAACTGATACTTTTTTCCTACTATATTAAAGTAGTTGAATAAAAACTGAATATTTTAAAAGTAGATATATTAAGTCATATTATTTTAAACTTAAAATTTAAAAATAAAATTATATAAATAAAAAATTATTGTTTTATTCCCAAACCATAATTTATTTTAATTTTACTTCTCTGACTTTTTGTTGTTGCTGTTGTCAGGTGCCATTGAGTCAATTTCTACTCATAGCAGCCCCAAGTGTGCAGAGTAAAACTGATCCATAGGTTTTTCAAGGCTGTGACCTTTCAGAAGCGTATCTTCAGACCTATCTTCCAAGAAGTGGAAGTTCCCACTCAGCACAGCCATCTTGGAATAAAACCAACAACCTCACGTGTAGATAGGCACCTCCACGAATTCTCAATAGGAGATAGGGTATGGAGTGGGAACACCCAGGGCTAAGTAAGAGCACGTTTGTTGGCTACAACTCAAGGAGCCCAGACTCTTACCTGGTAACCACAGGGGTATACGCCTACAACCTCCACCCCTCTGGTGAATAACAGCAAGAACCGCTCCTTCCCAGCAGCCCTGACTGTCAGGAACCACAGTACTAAACATATCTATTGTTCTCCTCTATCTAGCCCCCTCTGCCCCTGCCTTTGCCCTCCCTTCTGTCTCACTCCTCCACCCCACTGGCTGGACCCCAGATCCTTTCCAGCCTGCTCAGTACCCACAACACCACAGTCCATGGCCGTGAGGGGAATGGGCCTGGACCCCCAGACCCCTCCCCACCAGCACAGACCCCGTGTCACTGCATTCTGTTTCCCTGAGGGGAAGAGACCTACCCCGCCACAGGCCCTGCTCCAACCCCTGGCAACAGCCCGATTCATGACAAAAACAAATTACCCATTTCTGCCCCTTTCCATCCCTGCTGGACCTGCCCTGCTGCACCATAGTTGAGCGACTGGCCCTGCACACCCAGACAAGGTGGTGAGAACTATCATGCCCACAGATGAGAAAGCAACAAAGCACACCTGGCCCACCCATCCAGACATAACCAAACCAAGCAAAAAGCAGGACAAAACAAAACTACAATCAATAAATAAAGAAAATAATGCCTGAATGTCTTGGAGACAACAGATAATATCAAAACATTTTTTTTAAAGGACATGATGGGTCCAGTAAGCATTGTTGTTTTTAGGTGCCATCGAGTTGGTTCTGACTCATAGCAAACCAATGTACAACAGAACGGAACACTGTCTGGTCCTACACCATCCTTACAATTGTTGTTATGCTTGAGCCCATTGTTGCAACCACTGTAAGAATCCATCTCATTGACAGTCTTCCTCTCTGTCATTGACCCTCTACTCTATCAAGTATTATGTCCTTCTCCAGGGACTGGTCCTTCCTGATAACATGTCCAAAGTACGTGAGACGAAGTCTCCCCATCCTTGCTTCTAAGGAGCATTCTGGCTGTACTTTTTCCAAAGCAGATTTGTTTGTTCTTCTGGCAGTCAATGATATATTCAATGTTCTTCGCCAACACTGTCATTCAAAAGCATCAATTCTTCTTTGGTCTTCCTTATTCATTGTCCACGGTTCACATGCATATGAAGTGACTGAAAACACCATGGCTTGGGTCAGGCATACCTCAGTCTTCAAGGTGACGTCTTTGTTCTTCAAAACTTTAAAGAGATATTTTGCATCATATTTGCCCAATGCATCATTTGATTTCTTGACTGCTGCTCCTATGGGCGTTGATTGTGGATCTAAGTAAAATGAAATCCTTGATGACTTCAATCTTTTCTCCATTTATCATGATGTTGCTTATTGGTCCAGTTGTGAAGATTTTTGTTTTGTTCTTTATGTTGAGGTGTAATCCTTACTGAAGGTTGTAGTCTTTGATCTTCATCAGTAAGTGCTTTAAGTCTTCTTCACTTTAAGCTAGCAAGGTTGTGTCAACTGCATAATGCAGGTTGTTAATGAATCTTCCTCAAATCCTGATGCTCCGTTCTTCTCAGATTATTTGCTCAGCATACAAATTGAATAAGTATGGTGAAAGGATACAACCCCG